AAAATTCTTCCCAAATTTGCACGAAATTTGTCCCAAAATCACCGAATTCCACCCGAAAAGTCAGCTGCAGTTCGTCTGAAAGAGTGGACGCAATTCGTCCCAAAAAGTCCAAAATCCGCCCAAAAATCTTAATAAATTCTCCCAGAAAAATGGGCAAACCCCAAAATCAGCCCCGGGAGCCACGAGGGAGGGGGGGTGGCACCTCTGGGGGCACCTGGGGACACCTGGGGGTGTCAGGGACAGCGGTGGCACCTCTGGGGGACACCTTGGCACACCTTGGGGACACTTTGGGGACACCTTGGCACACCTGGGAAACACCTGGGAGCACCTGGGCAGACTTTGGGCACACCTGGGGACACTTTAGGGGTACCTGGGGGCACCTGGAGACAATTGGTGACGCTCCTTGGGGACTTTATTGCTCTCAGGGGTGTCAGGGGGAACGGTGCCATCGCTGGGACACACCTGGGCACACCTGGGGCACCCCTGGGCACACCTGGGGCACACCTGGGGGTACCTGGGCACACCTGGGGGTACCTGGGCACACCTGGGGTACCCCTGGGCACTCCTGGGGCACACCTGGGCACACCTGGGGGTACCTGGGCACCCCTGGGGGTACCTGGGCACACCTGGGGGCACCTGGGTGTATCCCTGGGCACACCTGGGGCACACCTGGGGGTACCTGGGCACACCTGGGGGCACCTGGGTGTACCCCTGGGCACCCCTGGGGTACCCCTGGGAACACCTGGGCACACCTGGCACACCTGGGGGTACCTGGGTGTACCCCTGGGGCACCCCTGGGGTACCCCTGGGCACCCCTGGGCACACCTGGGGCACCCCTGGGCACCCCTGGGCACACCTGGGGCACCCCTGGGCACCCCTGGGGCACACCTGGGGCACACCCAGGGGTGTCCGGGCTGTCACCCCGTCCCCCCCGTCCCCCCTGTCCCCTGCGTTCCGGGGGGCGGGGCGGTGTCCTTGTCGCCTCTTTTGTCGCGACTGTCGCCTCCTCCTCCATCTCCTCCTCCATCTCCTCCTCCATCTCCTCCTCCATCTCCTCCTCCATCTCCTCCTCCATCTCCTCCTCCATCTCCTCCATCTCCTCCTCCATCTCCTCCTCCATCTCCTCCTCCATCTCCTCTGTCTCCTCCTCCTCTGTCGCCTCTGTCGCCGCTGTCGCGACGGTCGCGGCCCGGCCACTCGGGCAGCGGCGGCCACGGCGCCAGCGGGAGCCCCGGGGCGGGGGAGGGGCGCTC